TGCCCAAGCAGCTGACTTGGTGAAACTGAGGTTCGGCTGACCCCTAACTATTGACCCTTCAGTCCTGATTGGATCTGCAGCCGTGAAGAGCGATCCAGTGTATCTTGTAGGATCATGGAGGCGCCCAGGCCATCACACCATGCTAAGGTGCAGTTTCGTGGGGAAGAATGTGGCAGCAAACCGACAGCAGTGGCGTTCTTGTCATTTCTTATAAGTTTAGAATGCTTGAAACGGTATGTATGCGCATTTAGCTTGTATATATTGTGTTGACCATAAATTGTCCCTTTCTTCCTCCCCCGGAGTAATTCCAATCCCTGTCCACCGTACATATTACCGCTATCTTGATATGCATTGCGAGTTTGGCAGCGACCAGTTAATTTCGCTCCACTGATGATGGTTTACCAAGATCAATTAATAGGTTCTTACTTGAGTTTTCTCGGAAGGTGTTGGCCGCTTTTGCGGTAACTCACACCATTATATCGTAAAAACATTTTGCCTGGAGCTTCCTCTATGGTTTCTCCATTGCTGATCATTTGTGGCATCGAATTAACGTCCGTTTTTTCATCCAATTTTAATTGAATGCTACTTTTCGTTGTGTTTTACAGATTGCTCAGGAACACGGTGTTGCTCCTTTAGAGCAAGCAAGTGATTTCAAACAACGCTGTGACGAGGATTCATACGAAATAGTTACACGAATGAAGAGTGTACAGGTATTTGGTTTTATGTGCATAGAATTCGCTGTTATCGTCATCGGCTTTGCAATTGCCACATCTGTCGTGTGCTTTTGGTTTATTTCCGTAGGAACCAACGTAACCACAGATTCACCGAAGCTCGATTGTGTGCATTTTTTTTTATACCGGTCCAGGCTTTAGCAGTAAATCACGATATTGGTTTGAGCTGACCATCCTTCAGGTTCCATCTTCTCGCGCAATCCCCAGTTGATCTGATCCAATCAACTGTGCACCCGGCTGACAGTAGTAACACAAGCTTTCTATACGACGAGTCCAGTTCAAAGCCCGGATGGGATGGCGGATATGCATTCCTGATAAGCTCTCATGAACGCGAAACCCGGGTTTAATCCTTCGGGAGTAAACGGTTGTTTGGATGAATTGAGGATTGTGTGTAAAGATAGTGTGACGGATTGTGAATTCCACTCAGTAACATTCGTCCCATAACACTGGTCAGAATTGGCTGTAAGTTAAATGCTGATTGAATCACAGTACGCAAACCTGGTCATCATCAAACAATCCAGATCAAGCGATCCAATCGATGTCCAATAGATCCACATTTGGTTGGTCTGAAAAATAACATTCTTTCGGGGTGGATCACATTGTGTGTTGTGAAAACTCAGCTCACCAATAGTATGTAAGAGTGCCTGATAGGAGTATCATGTCTGTTGGGACATATTCAACCCCTTCAGTCTCTTTCCTTCATTTATCCATCTTTTACCTGTCATTTGAATATGACATAATACACTAGCGGCTCGATAGACTGGCAAAATAGGTTGATTTTAGTCGAAGCCTAAAAACCTGGTCAACTCAATTTTATATCTGTTTATGTTCAATTGGTTTTGGGTTGCAAAATGACCGACCTGGGCAGGTCACAAGTAAGGATTTATAGACCATAGTTCTTGCATGTAAGATCTCGTGAAAGGTACTCTCGTGACGGACAATGATAGGCAGAGATTTGATTAGGTCATCGTGAAGTGAAAGGACGCTGCCAGATAACACGTTTGCTAGAAAATTGTTACGTGCTTAGAGGCCATTACGCGGTCAAGGTGAATGCGAGGTGAACCAATGAAAACGGATAATAACTTTAGGGCTTTTCGGAAGCAGTTTAAAATCTCAAAGAAACAAGCTTCGGTGGATGAAGAATGACATGTAAAATTAGTGGTCGCATGATTAAAGTGAGACAAAATAAATTACAGATTACGATCAGTTGACAACGTCATACTGTTTGATTGTGATAGAAGTGCGACGCGTTTTAAATACGAGAATGGTGATAGGATTGTGGCTCGATTTTTCACGAGGAAGTAATGGAGAAACGCTAGAAGAATGTAACTTGGTGTCGATGAAACTGCTCGGGGGTACGTTGGATTCGCAATTAAGAAACATGAACAGTTGTGAAAACTAATTACGTCCTAATTTCGTTAGTTCTCTACAGGTTTTGTGCTTATCGTATCGACGCTCAAGTCATCTATTCTAGTTTTATCTACTGACTTCACCTTATCATTTGTCGCCTTTGCCATGCACCGGATATCTTTTCAGTCACAACGACTACAGAATTTGAAAAACATGGATCTCATAACCAAACTTACCGGTCTTCTGGTTCAAGTACGCTCTTTGACTGAACAAGAGAACGCCACTTACGGATTCTCAAGCATTCAAGACTCATTGCGTGATATCAAATCAAGTATCCATGCAAGCAACGTTCAGTAAGTTCGACACTAACCCGGTGATCTGGCCCAGCCATTTGTTTTGTGTCTAACTGTTATTCAGACCGCCGTAGTTATTCGTTTATGGGTACTTTCCAAACCGCTCATGTGCTCTTAGTCCATGGATAAACTCACTGTTCACGTCTTGCACATAGTGTTTTCCCAACGAGTGTCAAAAAGCATTTTTACTTCTGAATCTTGGCCTCAGTAGTTATCGACTTAGCCCACGTGGCCATTAATGGATTGCAATCACATGGTACAAATGAAATTTTGGAATGTGAAACCCATACACATGCACTCTGATCTTTTGAATATCACTCACACAGGCTAAATCGCAAACAGCATTCCTTATGGTCCTATTGTTATGTGGCACAATAAATACTAGGTAGCATGCAGATTGAATAACCTATCACAACTGCCTTTCTGTACCTGTTGGGGCTGATGATGACCAATATTTGTTACTCCTTTCGGAGGCTTTATATCACGTCTCCGATTGCTCATGAGTTCAACCACCAGTCGAAAGATTCAATGAACACTGGAAGCGGATGAAGCTATTGAAAGATCGATCACAACAATGATCGACTCTAGCAAAAGGCTCAGAACAAAAGCAATGGATCTTGTCAACCTCTGCTGGACGCCCACGTTTAACAGTGCACAAATCTCTCAAACGCTAACTCATCAAGAGCCTGGGTAATGAACACAAGAAGGGATGTGTAGGGAAGTGTAAGGAGATGGAGAAATCTGCGGTTATTGGTGATAATCGCACTCTTTTTCGTCTGATTAGGAGTACGGGCCCCAGGAAAATAGACGTATGTGAGATGGGTGGTGGTGGAGTGGTTTAGTCACTGTCACCGGCGTGCTTTGGACCCTATGGTCCGAGGTTCGAGCCCCGCCACCGCCACCCGACTTTGGTGGTAGGCAGCTCTGCTGTCGTCCGGTTCAATACCACACCTAACCTATCGGGGCCTTATGTGGTTCGGCACTCCAAGTTCCGGGGCTTAGGTTGCCGATTTCAACCACTGAACAGCAGGTCCTCGTTACGATGAGGTTTACCCCGTCTGCTGTTCATCACACCTAGGTGTGTAATAAAAAAAATAAGGAATCCCATGTCACACTGATTCGTCATCAGCAGTGCTGTTTTGATCGATGAGCTGAACATTTCGAAGCTCAGTTAAACTGGCCCTCATCGACATCTGACCCATCACCCTCACTTCGACTGGGCAAAAACTCTCAGTTGATGCCAGTCCACCATCTGAAGTGGAGGTTTTCCCGGAAGTATATTATCTCAAAAGCTATAAAACATCCAGCCCATACGGGCTGTTCCCAGCGGTTTTTAAGGATGGAAGTCCAGTGTTAGTCTTGGATTTGATGAAACTCCTGGGCTCAATATGTGACAGGGAACAGGTTTTATATGAATGAAATAAATCGGTCACCTTACCGATTAACAAGAAGGGTGATAAATCCTCTTGTGAAAATCATCGAGGAATTGGTTGAATCAACATGCATCTAGATTTCTCGCTGGTATTATACTCCGCCGATTGCCTGCTGCATGTGAAGAATGCACGCGCGAGAATCAGGCTGGTTTTAGACCTGGTCGAGGTTGTATCGGTTTTTCCATCTCGAATCTGCTTTCAACTATCCTGTCTTTATCCTACTGCTTCATGCAAATGGGCAGCCAAAGAACGGCAGTTCAGTTCAGTTTGTATAGCCATTAACTATGCACTTTCGTGCGCCGGTTTTGGTTGCTGTCTTTTGGCAATCTATCTGGTGACATGCGTAACACTTGCCCCCACCAACGTAATCTATGGTGGTCGACCACTTGCTCCAGTGGGCGACCTCGGATACCCAAAACTGTGCGCCTTACCTCAGCCTTGTTCGTCCGGCTGCCCCACCAGATTCATGCAATGCTGCGTAGACAGCGGTGTTCATACACCGACAGTCTATCTTTGTCCTGTTTTCTTATTGGCCAAGTTTCTGTGCCGAATAGCCGAACGGCCGCGACGTACACTCGACCCGTAACAGACAACCGGATGTCGCGACTGCGCCGCAGCAGCAACCAAAAGCGGTGCACGAAATTGTCTGGTTAATGGTTGCAAAAACTGAACATCGTATGCAAGATGATGACCTGGTTAACTAATAGCGTGGTTTTTGCTGTAATTGTTGCTCTTACGGTCTGGTAATTTTAAAGGAAAAAACCATATATCCCGGACGATTTTGATGCATCTCTCTTGAGATGCAGCAAAATCGTCCTGGAGATAAATTGTACGGTATTGTGATATGATCGTTTCAAAATGTGTCTCATGAAAGGTTTGCTTCATTTTTCTTAGATCCATAATTTGTTTAAGGACAGACATGAAATGCTTTACCATCCCGTAGACCACTAGGACTCAGCAACCAACAGAGCGGTCAGCGACCGGACCAGTCTAGTTCACGCGCAGGAAGGCAGGCATATATCGGATGATATATTGGGCTGGCGGCTGGTTTTTCTCTGGGAAACGACCTACGTGAGTTTCCAACTGAGTCAGAGCCCCGGAGGCTAATACTGAGATAAGCGGGACGCGATACCCGCAACAAGCTCGCCAAGGTGGGTCGTGCTATATCATGTAAATCGAAAATGAAAAGCGGTCTAATCAGCTGCCTGGTGGCAGAGTGGGTAGCATGCTTGCGAGGTCCCGGATCAAGGGTCTCGCACCCCTGTTGAGACCAAAGCAGGTTGAAACAGCTGTATAGTTCTTCAGTTCACAATTCATTTGCTATATACACGGTGAACTCCTATGAAAAGATAGATGTCCGTAGAAGACATCATGACCTGCAGAGTTGTGGC